CTACTACTACTACTACTACTACTACTACTACTACTACGTGGCCTCCAGCCTCCCCCAATAGCCACACCTTCGCCACCATTTATTTACCTTAATATTAAATATCCTAATACATAAGCAACTATCCTATCTGTGTTAAATTAGTTGAGCCGCAGATCGATGCGGCATTCGGTGACTGTAGCCTCATAGTCGATATCTGCAGCAGTTGACGGAGTAGGGGCAGAAGCTCTCGTTCCCCTGAGGCAGAGCAAAGCCGACCGAAGGAGAGAGAAGGACAGTCGACATCTCATCCAGGCTGTGACATAACTTCTGGGCTGCTTCTTCTGTTCGGAGATCAGCTCCGCGAGTCTGGCGTAGAAACATCTTGCGCTTGGGCCCATCCCACCAGAGGTTGTGAACACTAGCGGAGTGAAGCTGCCTTGATCGACATTTTGAATTCTCTCCCCATATGCCCTTCTCTTGTCGTTCTCGTTCCTCCTATGTGCAGCATCGAGAGCTAGGTTACGGTGACAAACGGCCATGGGATCAAAAATCCTGATGTCGAAGAAGGCTCGCTGTCCCCGCGTCCAGAATCCTCGAGCACTGACGTCCACACGGGCTTCGTTAGATGTGTTTGAAGTCCTGTGTTGGAGGATCTCGCCATCCAGTGGAAGGAGGGTCGGTTCTACCATGACGTCCCGGCAGGTTTCCTTCAACATATTTGCTGTGAGATCCCTTACCTCGTCATGCCTCATGCATATGAAGCCCCCTTCTTGCAAACCATGGCGTGATCGCCATCATAGGAATAGCCACACACGCATTGGGAGGGCAAACCATCTACTGGCCAACCGTACCTTAGAGCAATGGCATCTGTAAATTCTTGTTTGTTAAGGCTGAAACCATTTGCCCTTATCGGTAACGTAGTTAACCAGTTCGAGGCGCCCACCTCCTGCGCTATAGCTACTTTTTTTGTCAATTTTTCTGGAACCTGCAGCAATAGTTGCTGCAACATGTCATTTTGGCAGTGCTGCCGATCTGTTGTAATGGATCTACGGATCTTATTAACTTCGCTGGTGTCCACTTCCCCTGTTGCATTCTGGGCTATTATGTGGTCAGTGAGGGCTGCCGTGAGCTTAAGTGAATTTTGATGTTCAGAGTCAGCAATCTCCTCTGGATTAGTTAGTCCCATCCCTCCCAGTCTTGGTGGAAGTGCAAGAAGTGTTCTTTCTACTGGGGTTAAGTCGTGGTGTTTCACTAGTTTGGGAATGAACTTGACACTGATTGCTTCTTCCAAAGGGTGGAGGAGGGGTCGGATCTCAGGGATGGTACGCATCAGGTAGTTCCAACGATGCTTGACTCCATGTGTGAATGCTGCAAAGGCCGCATGTGGCTCTGTGTTAGCAATCTCCGATAGAGCATGGATTTCGCTAACCCACTCGTTCACCTTTCCCCCTACGTACTGGGTCTTGAAGTCCGTAGTGCCAGTACTACTACTACTACTACTACTACTACTACTACTACTACTACTACTACTACTACTAAACATCCTCATTTCCTCCCCCTGGCAGACAGTGACCAGCCAAAGGACTGCGCTGCCGTGGCTGCTGCAGGAGAGACAACGAGCGGCGTGTACACCATCTTCCCCGCCTCCTGCACCGCCAGGTTCTCTGTTCAGGTGAGTAACAAGTACTTCCTTCAGTTACAGGTACTTTCTTCAGCTATAGGTACTTCCTTTAGCTAGTACTTCCTTCAATTACAGGTACTTCCTTCAGCTACAGGTACTTCCTTTAGCTTTAGGTACTTCCTTCAGTTACAGGTACTTTCTTCAGCTACAGGTACTTCCTTCAACTACAGGTACTTCCTTCAGGTACAGGTACTTCCTCCAGATACAGGTACTTCCTTTAGCTACAATTACCCCCTTCAATTACAGGTACTTCCTTCAGGTACAGGTACTTCCTTCATTTATAGGTTGTCAGTTTGTCTTTCAACTTTTCTCACAGAGCTCTCTCTCTCTCTCTCTCTCTCTCTCTCTCTCTCTCTCTCTCTCTCTCTCTCTCTCTCTCTTTCTCTCTCACTTTATTGGCCCTTGTGTTCCATTACTTTGTCTTAGGCCAGATCTGAGGGTGAGGTCGACTCGTTCCTCGTGTTGGTAATTGGTATTGGTTGACTGAACAAGATAGAGAGGAGGAGGAGAGGAGGGGAGAGAAGAAGAGGGGAGAAAGAAGAATAGGGAGAAGAGGAGGAGGGAGAGGGGTAAGAAGGAGAGGAGGCGAAGGTGGAGGAAGACGATGAGGAGGAGTAGGAGGGATATTCATTCGTGTAAAATAAAAATACAAGAAATTTTATTTGTAAGTTGGGCGTAAGTAGTGGTTTCTAACACTTCATTAACACCTAACACTCACATACTATGGTTTCTAACACTTCATTAACACCTAACACTCACATACTATGGTTTCGAACACTTCATTAACACCTAACACTCACATACTATGGTTTCTAACACTTCATTAACACCTAACACTCACATACTATGGTTTCTAACACTTCATTAACACCTAACACACACATACTATGGTTTCTAACACTTCATTAACACCTAACACTCACATACTATGGTTTCTAACACTTCATTAACACCTAACACACACATACTATGGTTTCTAACACTTCATTAACACCTAACACTCACATACTATAACACTTCATTAACACCTAACACTCACATACTATGGTTTCTAACACTTCATTAACACCTAACACACACATACTATGGTTTCTAACACTTCATTAACACCTAACACTCACATACTATGGTTTCTAACACTTCATTAACACCTAACACACACATACTATGGTTTCTAACACTTCATTAACACCTAACACTCACATACTATGGTTTCTAACACTATATCTCTAACATAACTTGAAGATGGGCTGCAACACTGCTAAGTAAACCGTCTACAGCAGTGTGTGTGTGTGTGTGTGTGTGTGTGTGTGTGTGTGTGTGTGTGTGTGTATTACATAGGTATACCGAGACTCAGATTGTAAATTGTGTCGTGTAAATACAGGTAATTGTGACGTTCTGTTTATTATACACGACCGAGAGGACAAATACACGAACGCTTGTACACATGTGCTCTCGTGTGACGTGGCGACAAGACAAGGGAATAAATGTGTGTATCGTATGAACGAGTCGGGAGTTTTCATGTTGGTCAATGGAGGAAAATATTTACATGAGATTATATATATATTTTATGGAGGGGTGAGTCATGGGTGGTGGTGGTGGTGGTGGTGGTTTATGTGGTGTGGGTGTGTGTTGATTTGGTTTATGTGGTGGTGTTGGTTTATGTGGTGGTGGTTTATGTGGTGGTGGTTTATATGGTGGTGGTATATGTGGTAGGTTGTTATCGTACTGAAGGAGGTTTAAGTTATCGTATTCGACGGGTTTAAGTTATCGTACTCAGGGAGTTAAGTCATCGTACTGAAGGGTTGATTGATTGATTGATTGAATGGGTAGAATATGGCGTCACTCCCTGTGGCTATTTGACTACGAAGATTAAAATTCTAAGGTAAAACTGTGATATAAATCAAATAAAAGCTTATAAATTTTAATACTAAAACTTAAATAAAATAAAATACTACTCTAAAAATCACAAGTGGTTAAGTTACATTATTGCTGTTAAAAAATTGAAAGCTCCATCATCACCTGCCTGGAACACTCTACCAGCAAGTCTCATAGCGGCGGACATCCAAGGTTATTCCCACGGACAGATCGTTGTCGTAATCTCCCACAACTTGTTCAGAACCGATAAATTGTCCAGCAGCAGCTGCCAGGAAGTCCGGGTGACTGACCTGACCGCAGGGAAGAAATCTCTCTGAGGGAGGGAGCACAATCGAACTGAAGGGGGTTAAGTTATCGTACTCGAAGGGGTTAAGTTATCGTACTCGAGGGGGTTAAGTTATCGTACTCGAGGGGGTTAAGTTATCGTACTCGAGGGGTGTTAAGCCAATTCCCATTCTCGTTGTGTGATAACCGAAGCGGCCGGTGACAGTAATAAGTGACGCTGGCCATAAACCTTTCCAGTTGGTAAAACAGAAAATAGTTTCCCTGAATAAATTCGCACCAGCAACATAAAGTAAAGAAGATAATTTAACACAGATGGGAGAAAAAAAGAGAGAGAGAGAGAGAGAGACGAAATCGTAAACACATTATGCCATGATTCTGTTTAGTTATTTAGTAAGACTTGTAAACTCAAAACACAACTGACTGGCCTGAATATTCTCCCTCTTCGATGACACACTAACAATTTATTATTTTATCGCGAGGAAATAAAATATACACACTCGGGAATTTTTATTGAACACACTCTGACATGGAACGTACACGGGACCTGCAGCTATGTGTGAGAATATTCCTTTTGTCTTATGAATCTATTGCACTGAGGTCACCATTCTAGTGTTGTCAGTTTACCTCCTCTGCCCCGCCACTCCACCCCGCCCCTCCCCCTCCCCCTCCACCTCCCCTATACCTCCCCCCACCACCACCACTCCCTAATAAGAATGACCAAGACAGCGTTAAACTGGACTCTGACTTGTATGTTCCAGAGATAATCTTCCACTTTTGTGTTTTTTTTCCTTCAGGTGTGATTTGTGTTAAGGGGGGTGAGGATTAAGGGGCAGCGGGTTGAGGAAGGGGTAAGGGGTTAGGGGGTGAGGAAGGGGCAGGAGGTGAGGAAGGGGTAAGGGGTTAGGGGATGAGGAAAGGGCAGGGGGAAGGGGTAGAAGTAAAATGATTGTCTGTCTAAGTGGATCCAACAATTAACTGGTCGTGTTTTTCTCCTGTTCTCCCTTCCCCCTCCCCCCTTGTCCCCTACCCCCGTCAGGACTGATGATCATCTCTCAAAATATTACACGTTGATGTTGTTTCTCTGAATATATAAACACACACACACACACACACACACACATACACACACACACACACACACACACACGGTTTATCCACCAGGAAATTAACTCACGAT